CAGAATGGTTTGGAAGAAAGAAAAAAACCCTTTTGAACTTCACTGTATAAGAGGTATAGAGCCATCTGGCCAGGAAAGAGAAGGTGTTTCTTTCCTACAGAGCTCTGCAACAGAGCCAAGTCAAGGTTTCTCCCACTTCAAGAAACAAAAGAACCATTACCTGTGTCCCAAGGTATCAATATGCAACCCTATTCAGGCAAGGCTTTAAAAAAAAAAAAAAAAATCAAGCAGTTATCCATGCCTTTTCATATCCAGCTTCCCCAAAGAACAGTTAAAAAAAAAAAATCAAAGTCAGACATACCCTATGTTATATATATGTATACACACACAGGAAAGCCTGAGATATCAGTATGACATCTAGGCTGATGGGACTTCTCACATGACTAAACAGCTCTCTAGTCTTGCTTCCTGAATCACGGTCCCGTATGGATAACATGGAGCAAAGTTTCCTTACAGGAACCATCACTGCTACAGATCACACAAGTAGTAGCTTCCTTCATTTCTACTTGCCTGGATCAGGAGAAGAGTGAGCCTAACTTTGTACACAGTCAGGACTACAGTTCCACAATACTTAAAGGCAACATAATGATAGATTACCCAGAAATATGAATTTCTACACATATGCATAGCCAATAATCTCATTTTCTTAAAAAGGGTATCCCCGTGCTGGTAGAAGTCACAACCAAGTCTTCTAGACATGCTTGCCTATACTAAACAAGATATCCAAATTCAAACAATAAGTCACAAGTTTTTAAAAGTTGACACTATAGAAACTTTTGCTCATCTCATTATGTGCCATTTGTATGGTTCAGCTAAACCATCGTATGGTTTAGCTGAAGGGACAAGAACTCGTACAACTAATGTCATGCCTGTGGTATCCCTAACCTAGGAGGGGTTTGAGTTTGTTGGGAAATCTGTTCTTGGAAAACCTAGAAGACGATTTGTCTGCCAGAAAGCTTTTAGACGAGCTTCCCAAGTGATGCTCTCTAAATCACTAGTGACTTACGTTTTTATTTTATACACGTATGGAAGAGCAAAAGTTTCCTAGCGTTTAAACTTTCAGGTCAATACTGAAAGTTAAGGAAAAATCAAAGTACAACCTCTCATGTTTGTAAATTGCAATGGGTGTGTGATGGTGTCAAGCTACAGTGAGTTATCATATGCTTATTTGAGGAAGGTGACAAGGACTGCTGGACCATGGGAAGACAAGTGTACGTGGGAATCGAGGGCAAGATCATAATGGTGAGTTCAGAGCTTCATAGTTCCTTTCTTGTTTATATAGGCATTAAGAACCCCGGCTGCTAAGCATCAGAATATGGACTTAAGGACTGTAATCCCAAATTCAAGGGTGTTTCCCTAGGAAAGTCACATTTCTGGACCCACTATTTAAATTTAAACCCTGACACTCCCCATTTACATCTTCACATGCCATGTGGTTCAATACAACGTGACATGAACGGCACAAGGCCACAATAAAAACGCACAAGGGAATTGTAATTTGGAACTCAGACACTTCTTGTATTATTTAGCAGCCCAACTCCCATGGCTGCATAAGTAAAGACAAGAATATTATGGGTACAAATAAAAGTTGTCGCAATAACCAGACTTATTCTGACAGCAGAAACACCCAGTATTGACAATGAGGAACCCTCAGGCATGGGAGGAAGGAGACTTCTTATTTAGTGAGTATCTGAGCTAGAGAAGTTAAGGCATTTTTTTCCCCCTTCAGCCTCAACAATTTCTTTAAAATGGGGCAGATGAGCCTTTTGGCCTCTTTACTAACCTTGCAAGTGATGCATTCACTGTTCAATACCCTGAAGACAGGCACTTCTGCTCATGCTCACCAGTGCACTTCCACATACTATCCTTTTGGACACCACACTAAATCACTTGCCAACAACTGAGTTTATCACTGAGTCAAACAAGCATTAGCCTTGCATTAGCCATGCAGCTTTTGTATTAGCCAAAGAATTACCACTTTTTTTTTTTTTTTTTAAGGCATGGTCATGACTACGGGTAACCTGACTCAGAGCTTTGGAAGATGATTTTATTCCCAGATCAGGGTGTTCTGGTTCCCCCAAGTTCTAGCATATCCACAGCACTAGAGCAGCCTGCCACGGATAGCCCTGCGTGCCGAGTTACCGCAACATAAGCCTTCATTTGACAGGCACCAAATGCCACCAGCTCCTCCACATGAGGACGCACAAGTTGCAAGTGGACTGGGAACCACAGTCCTGGATAACAGCTTTAGATTAAGGGCACAAGGAGCAATGGAGGGGAGGAAGGGGAGCCCCTGAAGACAGGCACTTATTGAAACCAGCTGTTAACCCGCTCTAAACACTCACATGTAGACAGTCTCATAGGTTTGTTCAGGCTGACTGAAAAACTACCAGACATCCAAGAGTTAAAGTACACAAAGGACATCTATACAAACACTTGCCAAAAGTCTCATTTTTCCAAGAGAGGCTGGCTATTCCAAGGATGGCAGAAGAGGGGATTTTATCTGCTTTCACACGACAGGCTCTGCCTCCTCGCCTCAGAATTCCCCAATTAACACTTCTGCAAGAAGTCTGGAGGTTGTGCATGGCCACGTATTTATCTACGCACATCCTCTCCCCTCCCGACTGAGTTCTGGGCCCACGGGCTACACTGTCAAGCCAAGTTTCATCCCAAGCAATTTTTAAACACTCATCCTATAAATCCTCCAAAAAGAGGGTTAGTAATGGAAAGGCTGACAGAGACTTGAAGTGACAGCAGGGCAGCTATATCATTCTACTATATATCAGCTTCATTAGCTGCAGATCCTTCTCTGTCACCTTGGTTTTCCATTAGTGTACTCTGGCTAATTAATGCACAAAACCTATGAAACATTCTTACAGTAGAAGGCAACATTTGGCCCCCAGCCCAAATCAACATCAAGAAACTTCAACATCCTGGGCCAGACATAGTGACTGTACCAGATGGAGCTAACATATAGCTACAAGTAGTGATGAGGGAAATAAAGAAGAGGAACACAAGCAAAAAAATCTGACCATTGGAAGAGGAAAAAGAAGCAAGCTTGTCTTACCGCTTTCATTTTTCTCTATGACATCCACGACCTCTCCAGCCTGGAGGCTAATTTCAGAGTTCTCCTGCTTCTCATAGTTGGACACCACCACATATTGCTCCAGGATCATGGGTTCAGAGCTAGCATCAGCACCTGGGGAAGGGAAAAAGCAAGCTGTAAGCCAGCTTCCAGCCATGGCTCCTCGAGAGCGACCTCCGTCCATCCGATTCACGACAGGCCAATTTGTCACCAGAGCCAAGCGAATCAGCAAACAACCTTGGCTCGCAGCATATCCCCAAATGGCTGGCCATATAGAAATAGCCTCCTCTGGCCCACAACCCAGCAGCACAGAGGGACATTGGAGAGAAGAAGAAAAAGGGGAGGGAGGAAAAAAAATGAAAAGGAGCCGAGTAGTGAATTAGTTGCAAAGTTTCATGATGGATTCTGAAAATAAACCTCTTCCCAACATGGTTTCCACAATCCTTGCTCCCATTCAGAGAGAAAAATCCTGAGTAGAAGCAGCATAAATCCACAGCTGAGCCATCCCCCCAGTGAACCAAAAGAAAAAACAGCTCTCCCCTTGGAGTCTCAGCTCCTTCTCCACTCTAAAGGCTTGAGCTGTGAGTCAAGAGGGGGCTGTAGATGCCAATCATATTCGTCTGCACTACAGCCCTTAAATAGAAACACATGAGCGGGATTGAAAGGAGGAGGTGGGGTGGAGGGAGAGAGGGAAGGCGGGGAAGAGTGTTTACTTGAAACAGAAGAAAAAAGTTATAGCGCCAGAGTCATACTAAAACACGGCCACCCCCCTCCTGCCCCCCGCCAGCTCTCCAGTTCCGCATTCCCCGCAGAAGAAACAGCCTCCAACCGCGGGGAGCCGCCGAGTCCCAGTGGCTGGCAAGGACCGCGCCTGCGGGAGGGAAAGTGCAGTCCTGCTTCCCCTGCTCCATCTCCCTTCAGCGCGAATTGGGGCATTTCAGGCCAACCTTTCCAACCATTCTGCCCCACCCCGCCAGCTACTTATGAATGAGAGAAGGCTCTCATGCAAAGAGGGACTAAAAAAAAAAGCACAAAATAACTATTCTCCTCTCTTCTCCCCCAGAGATACCCACACTCAAGCAGTTCCTTCTTTTTTTGGGAGGAGGGGACTTCTCTCCCCCAAACTAAAACTGGGCCTTCTGGGGTGGAGCTGAGAACCAGGCGGGCTGTGGTGCCAGACACAGAGGGAGAACTCCCCGCGCACTGCCGCTCACGGTTCGAGACAGCCCAGCTCGCAGATGCAGCAGACACACTGCCAACGGGGCCTCTCACCTCCCAGCACAGACACAGACACACGGCGTATGTGCTTCTGCTTGGAAGCTACCTAGGAAAGTCATGCAAACCTTTATGATATCAGTTTTTCTTAATTTACACTGAGATACTTGCATGCTCTTTGAAGCATTAGGCCAGAACAAAAAGCATCTACAATTGCTCTGTTAAAAGCCATCAGATGTTTTAATACAAACATTTTACAGGTTTGCCTAACTATAGTATTGTCTGCTAAGGCAGAGAGCAGTTTGGGCCAACAGTATCTTATGTGTTTTACATAGAAAGAGATGGTTCCCACCTCTCTAAATTTTCAGATACAGCTGGAAATGGAAACAAAAGCTGATGTACGACTTGCTGAAAGTCCCATTTCACGTGACAGGGCAGAGCCAGGAGCTGAATCCAGGTCTCTTGGATCTCTGCAGAGAAGTTGGCCAAAAAAGACAGGAAGGAAGCAGCGTGGTCTAGCAAATTGTCCACTGTGGAAGTCAGGGGACTAATGGCCAAGAAGATGATTAGCACTGCATTTTCAACAGTTACACAGGTTCATATTTGCTTGGGCTGAAGATGCAAAGTGATTCTACAGACAAATAATTAGTGTCCCTGCCAAGAGGAAGGTAAAGAACACATCAGCCATTAGAATGGCCTTCCATGAAATGATAAATCTATACCAAGGACAATTAATCCAACCTTTTCCTGAAGCCAAACACTGTCACAGTGCCTCCCTTTGGGACAGGCCAAAAAAAAAAAAAACAAAACACACTAGAGAATGAGAAGACTTTCTTGCTCCCTAAACATGACTCTCCTGTCATGTGGATTTATTTTCTTTGCAAGAGGAGTGTTCTCTAGAAGACTGTTAAACAGATTTAGCTCTTTTACGGATGGCTGACCCAGAAAGAAGCAGGAAGGGGTGGGGTAGGGGAGAAGATAGAAGTGACAACATTAAAATATTTGATAAAAAACTTTCACCATAGCTGTCCACTCTAAATAAGCATCATACCCTCTGTTCATGATGAATCATCTCAACTTTGTGTCCTGGTAGAGTGTGATGAGATGCTTTCCCCCCCATTTCACATGGCTTCCCATGCAGCTCCTTCTCCAGTCCAGAAAGGGAGCGCATATTTGTCTTCCCTCAACCTATTAGTGTGAGTAACCACTACAATCCTCACTTCATTTTAGTCTTCAGATGAAGATGGGCTCTCTAACCAGAACACAAAGCTGTCACGGCAGTATGTGTACACGTGTGCATCAGTGGAGAATTCAGTGTGTGAAAAGGCAAAAGGAGGGACTGAACCACTGCAAAGGGAGCAAGGGTCAGATAGGAAACTTGCCAAACAGACACCTTAGGTGTCTTATTTCCTCTGGTTTCACCCGTGGGTTGGTGGGCGGGGGGGGGGGGGGGGGGGGGGGGAAGGAGGGAAGGAACCCACACCACCACATACATGAAACAACATTGGGCTTGGGGGCAGGCCTGGTGCTCATGTGATACACCATCCCCGCAGGGAACAAAGGGAGGACTGCGCGTGCACAACACAAGCTGACAAACACCCCGTGATCATTCACTGACATCTGAGCCAGGGAACAGATGCCAGAGGAACAGCCTTGCCACTAAATTGGAAGACACGGCATTTCAATTATTTCAAATCTACTTCTTCAGCTCACTCACTCTCGAAAAAAGAAAAGGTGATTTTCTAACAACCCAGCAAGATAGGTTATGTCTGCAGTCACATATCTGAAACCTAGCAGGACTTTATGAGGTGGTTTACTGTATCCTGCCTTGGCAGGATAAAGCATTCGCTGCAGGAGGATTTCTTTGTTACCGCAGTGACTGGTGTTACACATACAATTAAGAAACAAGCTTCTGTTAGAAAGGCCTGAATTTTAGATGGTTCCTATTAAGAGATTTATCACCTAAAAAGAATAGGGTGAAAAATTCCTTGGTCTAGGAAGTAACCAAGGCCAAAGAAAATTATTCATTTACAGCTACAGCAGATCATGCCCAGAAGATACCCTTTTTAGGGGAGGGAGAATGGGGTCTGTGTGGTTCCTGGCATGATGCTCTCTTACACACAGGAGCAGACCTGCCGTTCGCAAGCTATCCTTGAGCCCCTCCAGCATCACGCGGCACAGCAGCAAAGACTTCAGCAACACTAAAGAAGGGAAGAAGGGAGGAAGAAGAAAGAAACAAGAAACAGCTTTTCCCAGTGATCAGAGCTTTATATGTTTTTGGGGGGTTAGTCTACACTGTTACTGTATTATCTTCAGGCATAATCAGTAAAAAACATTAGCCTTCCTCAGCCTTCTCTCCCCTATAAGCATCTTTGGTAACTTCTCCTCAGCGACACCCAAAACGCTCACGACATCCCTGGTACGTTATGTCAGACTGTGGGTTTTCCCCAGGGGGAATTCAAAAGAACAAGACAGGCAACACTGCAGAGAGCACAGCACCAATTGCACCCACCAGCCGTGGGCACTTGCGAATCCCTGCCAATTTCTTCAGGTCTAATTTGCCACACGGGACACAGCATCTCTTTGAAGAGTCTCCGCCTGCTCAGCTCGAACCACGCTGGAGAAGGGAGCAATGCAGAACAGGGTGCGCTCCCCGGGCAGTTCGGCATGCACACGACACCCCGCTCAAAGCCTGCTCAGCTCAGGCAGCGCAAGTGGAAAGCAGAGGATAGGATAAGGCCCATCTGCTTGACAGAGCTCCCCCCCCCGCCTTCAAAAAAGAAAAAGAGAAAAACAGCACAGAATTAGTGTTTCAGTTTAGCTCCCGCTTGCAAAGCCCTCCCCAGAGCAGAGCACACAATAGATTGCGGGCTGAAATAAGAGTTTGCTTGCCTCTCTGTTTATTTTTGCCTCGAGTCCGTTTCCTGGTTAAAATCTTGAGGATACCCCTCCTCCTCTCCATAGGGCTCCACTTTACAATTCACCCGCTCCTCACCTCAGCGATTACATTCCCAGGACCGGGCAGTAATGTCAGAGCTCGTCCATGCTCCTCGCAAGGAGCTGGCTCGCTATGAAGTGACACAGTTGCACCCTGCACCCCACGCCGGGGAGCGGGAAGGAGGGAGCATTATTCCTCCTGCAGCGCTCGGGGACCGACAGTGACCGTTAAAGCCTCCTAAATAAGAGCACAGAGCACCAGTTCCAAGCAACTCCTTCCTCCTCCTCCTATGTTGCAACAGCTAAGACCAACGATGGTTTTGCAATAGCCAAAAATTCAAACCAACCGGATGCAGAAAAAAGTCTGGATATGGAAATTTGAGAAGCCTGATCTCTGCCAGAGTATTCTGTTGTTATCAGGCTATAAACGTCTGCTCTTTTAATCCATACAGCATGCAGGTTTTCATACTGCCCTTTTAGGATTATCAATCAAGTGTTTACAGATTCAGAGTAAATGAATTAGTCCTGGGCTGATCAGTAAAGATTTTTAAAAGAAGCCAAAGCCACAGAAACAGTCAGTGAACACCATAAGCATGATTCATAGCAGAATAAGCAACTGGCAGGTAGTTCAGCTTTTTAGACCTGGACCTCAGCAGGCACAACTGCTGTTGACACACGCAGGGTTTGTCCATGGGCATCTGGCAAAGTGCCTCATTGAGAGTGTCATTATTTTCCATAGAATGAAGTCAGAGCGTAGCACTTTCCTGCATGTAGTGAGAAATAACTGTGGTATCCTAGATCTAGAACTGTGGTTTCTTGTTACAGCCAATTCTTCAAGGGAAATCCTTTATGCATCTTTGGAAAACTCCTTCCAAAGGAGTAAACTTGCTTAAAATCCCCAAACCAGATTATCCCCTCACAACTACGACGTGCCCAGCTCTAAATACAGGACACGGCAGGGTTTTATCCCATGACAAGCTTCTATACTTTCTCTGATCACAAGGAACATGCCAGTACCATAAAAGCACATGTTAAACTTGCATGTTTGCTTTGGTTGCCCACCAATGATCTACCCCCAAATATTTTAAGACAGACTGTTTAGGTCTGCCTAAGCATTAAGCTAAGCAGCTATTGCACAGATACCCACACAAAGACAGACTATACCAGGTAGAGCACACAAGAGCTCAAGATCTCTCAGTCTCAGAAAAGCACAGTTCTTATAACCACCAGTTCCTAGAGTAAACAGTGGGGCAAGACTACAAGTTTCGTTGGGGACAACAAGGATGCAGATCAAGAACAGGTTTCTAACTCCAGGATCTCGTCTCCTATTCAGTTTTCTTTATGTGCTCCAACCAAGCCTTCAGCCCAAAGTGTCACTACTTGGCCCCCTTCCCACTTCTCAAACTCCAGACCATAGTTTCACATTAATTATTCCTGGAGGTAGAAGGCCACTCTCAGGTTGTAGCAATGCGAAAGTGGAATCCATCTTGATTCTTTCTCCCAGACAGACCTTCGTGTAGTCGTGTGGTGCAGGAGACCTCCTTTACATATATGGAATTGTACAACAGGAGCCCCCCTAGTTCTAACTGTTTGGCTTCAGAAATCAAACCACCTCTTGGTATAACAGTCTTGAGCCACAAATCTTTAAAAGGCAGAGCCAGAATTTCAGCACTGCCTGTGATAACCAAAGGAATTCAGTACAAGCTCAATCCAGTCTCAAGGTCTTGCTAACGAAACAGTACCGGCAAGAGAAACCCTTTGTTTCATTATAACCTTCTCCAAGTATTTGGTTTCCTCTTTCAAAGGGGTTATTAATACATTATTATTTTTGTGGCTTCTTTTGTGAACTCAGCCAAATATTTCTTTTGGTAAGGACAAGGCAATTCTTTTGCCTTTTCAGAGAAGAGTTTCAGAAGCAGGTAACGTTCTGCTGTTAGGCAGAGAGGGGATAAAAAACAGGAAGGGAAGGGTTTGGATCTGTCCACTTAAGTAATTCAGAAGAGTCAAAGCCAGAGAAGCTTAGACTAAAAACTTTAGATAACATAGGTCTCAAACAGTCTGAAAATAACACCAAGTTAAGCACTGTCCATCCAGTGATGGATAGGTCAGCATGCAGACAGTCTCATCTCAGCTTAGTAGTAATAACTAATGTACAAGAAGTTTCTCAGCAAATAAGATTTTAATAAACCATTACCTACATGAAACTAATCCCACAGGCATCCATGTACACACCCTCCTCAACCCCAAAGTGCTTATGTCCTGCAGGCTTTTCAACAGATGGGGCAATCGCTTCCTTGCGGAGCGGCTCAACCTCCATCCTTTTTCATGAGCCTTCTGGCTACACATGCAAAAATATGGTAGAGTCAGTAACGCTGTGAGCTGCATTAACTCCCTCCTGGCCCCCTTGGAGGCAGCTACAGACAGCTACAAGGAGACGAAGCCAACTGCAGCGTGCATCGTTGGCAGGAAGGAACGCAGCCAGTCATCGTGGCTGCAAAAGTTAACTCAATTCTTGGATCGAGTCCCAAACATAAGGGGTGCATAGTTGTTTCCAGCACTTCTAAGAACAAAGATCTGGATAAGCCTTCATGAGTTGGAGACAAGTGGCAGCTGTAAGGTAGACCATGGCTTCCAGCATTCAGAGTACGTGCCGGACACGCAGCTAGAACCAGCAGCACAATGCAACCCCCACTGGGAGCGCATCAGGAATGAGCTTGGCCCATGGTAAACAGCAAGGGCTCTCAAGTAAGTGCTCCATTTCGGTGTGTTCCTTCTTTATGGTCCTCAGCAGTATTTCCAACAAAATCTTGACAAATAGAGAAATTCTGTATTGACCCTTGCCAAGTGGAGCTTGTTAGTCTCAGGGTTTATTTTATTTTATTTTTGATCTGCTAAGTTTTAAGCTAGAGCCAAGAAAAATTAGAGGCAGGAGGGTGAAAGGGAAAAAAAGAATTTGAGTCCTCTTTCCACTCCTTCTTGGAAAGTTGGCTCCCTAAAGAGCGACTCCAACCAACTAGGTTACAGGTAGCAACAGCTAAGAAAAAACTTAAGTATTCGCACACAAATCTGCTAAACCACTTGGAGGTTTCCATACAGCTGCTAGACAGGGTTCTCCACCAGGCTGAAGTCACCTATATATTTTGGCATTTGACCTAGTCCTACTCAGTGCTGCAACTCGCTCACACTACTTCACATAGCACAAAACAGAGTAGCCAAGGAATTTAACTGTAGCTGGGGTGCCCACAACTACCCTACCAGCATACAGCTGCTTACAAGGGGTAGCAGGACACAGAGGCAGGTTGCTTAGTCATGCAGGACACAGAGGCAGGTTGCTTAGTCATGCAGGACACAGAGGCAGGTTGCTTAGTCATGCAAAGCTCTGTTGTCCTGGTAATTCTGCAAAGATAACCACTGGTTTCCCTCCAGAGCTGCAGCTCCTCATGGGATCAAGCTGGATGGCATCCACCTATTTCCAAAGCATGGACCTGACATACAGCAGAAGCCTTACACACCTCAGTTTCTGCTTCACGGAGTAGCTTCAGTCCTGAGACTGGAGCACTGGTTTGGGCAGCACCAAACCTCCTTCTGCTCTAGTCTCCTGACCCCCAACCTTGGCTACAGATATGTACTATAAGGGTAAGGATCACATTCAAATCCAGATCGTCTGCTCTGTTGGCCTGTCACATTGCAATACAGCACATGGCAGGTCAGGACTGAGGCACAGCTATCTTGGAAACTGGAGGATATCTTTGAGCAAGAAGCAAACTGAATGGCTGTGTAAACTGGAACAGCATGGGGAGCTGAAAACCTGGACAGATGCACTACAAGACTTTTGTGTAGGATGATACATCAACATTTTCCTTAACTGCACTGCATAGTGCTTAAAAGAAAGCCACTTACATTTGCCCCATCATCCCTATCATCAAGCACAAGTTTTCTGAAGCCAAATCAGCAACATGCATTTAACTAAAATCAGTTGACAGAAGGGAAGGAATTTATATCAGTTAAGGCTTTCAAGCTTTCTGAAGGGCAAGGAGATGAAAACCTAACATTTAACTTGCCATTTTACAGATGGCAACATAAAACAGTCTGAACAGATGTAAACCACCAGTTTCTCCAGAACATTCTGCAAGATCTGCTGAAAAGAGTCAAAGAAACCCAACCTTCTGCCCACTACCTCGACCAGGTGGCCTGTGGGCTTCTCGCCACTCTTCTCATGTGACACCACCTCTTCTGACTCTCCTTCTTAACACGTTTTCCCTCCTACTCTTTCTCATCCTGCTACAGATCTCTGATCTGTAAGTTACCACACTCCTATGACTGAAGGCCAACATATCTGAAGCATTATCATGTCTAGCTGTCACCCTGAAGTCAGACCTATTCTGCTCAGGTTGGAGAGAGAATTCCTCCGGTGGTTTATTCAAATCCTTTCAAGGATAGCATTGCTGCAATCACAGTAGTATTATTTACTAAACAACTCAGACCTACTAGCACTCATCCACTGATGGTGACAAGATTTTGTTCACATGCTTAGAGCAAGGCATGAGCTTGAATATTTGCTGAATCAGATGCAGAAGACAGAACTTCTCCATGCTCACTGAGCTTGCAACCTGTGCTGGCCTGACCACCCAAGTGGTTAAGGTCAGGCATCTTTAATGGACACAAAACAAGTGTCACCTTGAAAACGTGCATAATATTAAGTACATGGTAGAGATGGAAGGGTAAAGCCACCCACAGCCATGAGAACTCGCAACAGCTAGGCTAGCCAAGTGGTCTGAAACTCTTCAGGGGCTAGAAATTACTTCTGAAGTCAGTTATAGCCCAGCACAAGGTGCACCATGAACACTTCAAATGGAGAGGAATTCCTGTTCAGAATAAAATGGCTTCCCCATTTTAAAACACTCTTTAAGTCATACAAAATATGACTGCAGTCATAAGTATCATAACTATATGTACACAACATTCACATCTCTGCACAGGATCACAAACACCTTTGTTTCTTCAAGAGGGAAAGCCAGAAAAAAAGTGTCTGAGAGACTGAAGTCTACAGCTCTTCATCCTTTATTCAAACTTAGGAGAGAAAAGGCCTCTTCTCCAGTAGCTCATGTAAGGTGACAAAGGTTTGCAGAGAAATCCAGTGGATTTCTCTGACTCTACTGGATAATCAGGAGAAGATCTAAGATTCCTTATTATATAAAGCTTAGCTTTTGCCTTGGATTAGGCTAGTCTTCTAGTCTTCCTGATCTCTCCTAGAATTTGCTTCCCTGCCCCTTCTTCTTCCACATCTTCTTGTGACAAGGAGCCTGATGCTCCCATGAAAGCCTTGCAGCTGCCTCAAAAAGGCATATATCATATGTGCCATATGGAAAATATGGGATATGACATCCTCTCTACTTACTGCAGGAAAACAAGAGAGGAGCATTTCAGAAGAACAAGGTACACATCACCAAGTTCCTCTCCCTCGAGGGAGAAGCTGCCTTTGGTTGTGGCTCTGGAGTTGGGCATGAAGGAAATAACACAGCAAACCACCATCCATCATTGGTAACGACATCAAGGTGAAGTGGGCATCAGAAAAGAAAAGCTCGTCCGTGTCAGAAAATATGCATCATGAAAGATCAGTACACAGGCAGAGTACAAATTCTGGAAATCTACAGTCAGAGACTTACATTAAAGAGAACGCCCAAGAAAACAGTTTCAACTACAGACTTTTCTTTCTAATAGCATGCAAAAGAAGACACAGTACTTTACCTGTGACTTTCTTTTTTGGAGTCTCAGACAAACTGGACATCCAAACTTGAAATCCAAGAAGAAGGCAGCCATAAAGAGAGAGAGGAATTAGAGAAACAGGAAAGCAGTCATAAAAATTACAGCAAGTTTGAAAGTTGCAGTCAGAACAGCTTTGAAAGAAGTGTTAAAAAAAATTAAGAGCAACGTTGGCATGATGGGGACTTAATGAAAGGGCAAGTCACAAGAACTCTCCAGTCCATTTTTACTTTTTAGATAACTTGCAGAACTTATGAAACTGACTTGTTGCAGCCCAATTTTGAGATCTGGGATTAAAACATGCTCCAAGCTTATTCCCAATAGAACAGGGAATAGAAACCAAGAGACATTTGACTCATTAGGCCTCAGCCCTGTAGAAGCACTTAGCTTTACAACTGTTAATGATCCCCATGAAACCAACAGGCAACTCATAGAAATGGAGCTTAGCAAACACATGCAAGTACAAGTATTTTCTTACCCTGGAATAATGTTAAGAAAGATAACAAGAGATAAACAATACACCATAAAAAAGGATTCAAAAAAATCTAATAAAGGTGCATTCAAAGTATTAATAGAAACAACATTCATTAGTCAATGAATGCTAGGAAGAAACTCGGTTAAGGAGAAAGTTAATACAGTTGCTATCAAAAAGATCAAAGAACTCCCCCACAAAATAAGGTGTAAATATTTGGCTCAGGATTCTGGGAATAATGTTCAAATGTTAATTTTTGTTTGACTATATCAGAAGTATGTTTTAAAAGTTAGCAGATTCACCCCCGTTACAAAGGGAGAACCAATATCTCAGGCAAACATTGTTCCTGTTACATGGGAGGAGGGAGCATAAAGACAGTAGTTGCTCTCGCACGGTCTGGGAGAAGAGATGAACAGGAGAGGTGTTTATGTGGCAGGCTCAGAACTTCCTGAATTCTGACAGAACCAATTCCAAAACGCAATATTTCAAAACCATTTGCAACTTGGAACCCAAGCTATCAGTTTAACAGGCAAGATGCACCTTTCAACCACTTGAAGGAGAGAGAAGGGCAATATACAGCCTAGTGAACTTGTCCATTTGACGTGTTATTGTCTTTTGAGCCACAGAACATCTTCAAGACAGCCAAGACCTGCATGAGCTTCCTAGTATGCGTTAGCAATTTCTCAGTTACATACTAAATACAGAGCATAAAAACAGCTTTCAAGCATTCTCTCACTGAGAAGCAGAGGTCAGAGTAACATTTAGTTGTATTTCCTCAGCACTAAGGTAACGGTGAGGTTTTGAAATCCTTAGGGCAGGCCCACAATTTTCATTGTGTTAAAGCAAAAATCAGAGCTCAAATGGATTTGGTATTTTACTTAAGTTTCAGTAAGTTCTCAGTAGCGGCCACTGGAAAAAACCCTCAAGACTTTCAGCCACCCAACCCCCAAACCCACGCACTGCATTACATTGCCACAATACAGCGTGAGATGCACCATGATAAGCGTTATGATGATTTACTTTGGACTGGGATTACCAATTCAAAGTCAAGGATCTCTGTTGGTAGAGTGCAACAGGAGATCATCTGGCAGAGGGTAACTAGTGCTCTAGCTTAGAGAGGGAATATACAGCACATTTCTATCACACACTCCGGGCGTGCACAGCAAAGGGCATGAAGGAGCTGTTGTCAGTAACTTGTCTGTTAGCCTTTGAGTATGCCTCTACTGCCTTTGCAAAGAGGGTTATGAACTCTTTATCTGGAGGGAGATCCGACACCTGACTGCTGAACCTGAATGTGGCAGCAACAAATCAGAAAACATTACAAGAACAACTGAGAAGATTTCAAATAAAGACTCCAAGCTGGTAGCAAAAGGCTGAAACAGCCAACAATTAAAAATAGAGGGAATAGGATGCGTCCAGCATGGCTTTAGGGCTGTACTAGATCTGTCCATTTGCTTGCCCCAGAAGAAAGGAGTATAAAACTAGACACACAGTAGCCTTATCTACAAACACCTCTGTGTTATGAATCAGAATTGATATGGAACCAAGTTCTCCATTAAAAAAAAGTTCCATGATAGCAGCTAACAATTAAGTTAATTTAAAAATATTTTTCCTCCTTGTCAAAGCCATTGATCTAAAACAGCATAAGAAAAGGTAATCTAAGCAGTGCCCAGCAAGCAGTATCACCAGTCCCTGACATGGGCTCCCTGGCCCCAGAAGCAGGAGGAGAAGCAGCACTTTTCAACTGACAGAGCCTGACAGCAGTAGATGCGGACGAGGTTGCTTCTGAAGCAGAAGACAGCTAGCATTTTTCAGCTGCTCCTGCACATCTGCTTAGCATTAAACTTCCTTCTGGGGGGATTTTTTTTTTTTTATTCCAAGACATTTAAGCTCTAATTGCTACCAGCTTCTAAGAGTTCCCCCTACAAATAATAAAAATATCAGACATTAGTGATGGATTCCACTTCACAAAGAGCTCAGCAGAAGAGCCTTGGAGGGAGCCAGGGTACAGAGGGAAGGTCAAAGGCCCCAGAAACATGCTGTGCTTCCACCAACAAGACACAAGCTTTAAATGGCCCTGGATTTCCCCTTTAGGACAGGGTTTTACTGGAATCCTGCATGGGACTGGGAATCTCTTTCCAACAGGATTGGTAACGATAAATGAACAAACCCTGCTTCCTGCTCTGCCTCCCCCCCCCGCTGCGCTGCCGAAAGGCAGTTGGTCTCAGATGACTTAAGGGGGGGGGGGGGGGAGAAAAAAAACCACCACACACACCACACATGCACACTCAGTATTTGGAAAGGAAATTAAAGTTGCCTGCTCAAAGCAAGTCACTCCTTCACTCCTAAGGCAATGGTGGCCTGAGCCTGCTCCTGACTCCAACCCCCAAGATCCTTGCTGCTGGTTTCAGCTGGAACCAGAACAACTCCTCCACCAGGAATTTTTTTTTTTTTAAAAAGAAAAACTTAAGATGGCAGGGAACAGCTGCTGAATCCAATCTTGCTCAAGCTGCCGCTGCAGAGATAAGAGCTGGAGGATGGGTCAACTATACTCCTCAGGTGGGCAAAGGAAGAAAGGAAAAAGGGAAAAAGCTTTAAAGACATAATTAAGCTGGTTGCTGTAGTGAACTAAAGAGATGAAACAGAACACTATTTAGGTTTCACCAGAAGCTTTTCTGCTGCCACCGAGACTGGTTTGATTGCTGCTCCTCCCACTACTGGCAAGAGAACAGGCGCCAGACTGCTGGGGACGGACACTTCACACTCGGGATGCGGCCCCACTTGTCTCATTTTAGTAGCAGTGGATTTGTCTTGTATGCCATTAGTTTTTTCCTGAAACTTGCTGTGTCCTGTAAAAGCCGAAGTCAGTTTAGAGTTGAATTCATGAGCCCAACATGACCAAAATTCAGATGTCACATTCATGGCTCACATTGGTACTGCACATCAAACTTGGTCCTGGCCCAGTGGGTGCCAAGCAACTTTTCCGCTGCAGCCCTTTCACCAGTAGATCTTGGTGCAGGGTTTCTCTGTCAGCAGCACTGCTTATAGCACCAACACTCAATATTCAGTCTGGCACCCATTTTTAGTACTGCTGTAAGAGCTAGAAGGAACACATGCCTAAAGACTCACAGGTTGCATTTTGCTGGGGCTGACATCAGGGACTTACTAGTATCTATGTAGCTTTCTAACCTATGAAGCTACTGCAGGAATATTGCCTGGCAATACCCAATTCCTGCATGGGAATTTGATCATCCTAGTCATGAGTCTCAGCGTGGTTTTAGTTCTGGCCTTTTAGCCCTTGCCCCAAACAACTCCTGGGCACAGCTGAGAGATCAGCACAGGCCAAAGACAATTTACAAAAAGCAATCTAGATGGAGCTTTCTTGTTTTGGAGGGTAAGAGAGTTCAGTGATATGGATGTGAGCTGTGCTATGGAAGTTGCCTTCCATACCAGAAAGTGATCCTAGGTTCATTTAATGAACAGACCCTTCAGCAGTGCCTGGTGATATTTGAGGTGGGACTTCATGCTAGGAAAAACCTCCCTGCAGCTGTCGTGCTGCATATTAAAGTATCAAGAGAAGGATTATTAAAAACAAGCGGCCTTGCCGAAAGGGAGACCGATACTCAAAAGGCACTGCCCCTTTTTAAGGGTGATCAATTCTGTAGGACATTAGTTCTCTCCATGAAGAGGTAATATTGGCTTAATTAGCAAAGGACCACAGCACTAACTGCAGCTGAACATTTTACAAATACATCCTCCCAACCTTCGTTATAAAGAAGGGGGGAAGAGACTAGGTGACAAAAATCTTTGAATGAACTGAAACTACACTGGCTTCCTGGGAGGTCAGTGATAGACACTCCACTCCAGCTTGAAGAGCTTCACTGGTGGTCCAGTAAGTAGCAGCGATTCCTCATATTGAAATGGAGGGAGGCAAGTGCTTCTGCTACTCTAACGCTATTCAAAATAAAAGGCATTAAGAGAAGGATGTGGGTGTTCCCATCCCAACAGCAGTATCTGATAAGTCAGCAAGAACAAGTTGCAACAGTGTTTCTTAGTTTTCCATTTCTTAGAAGCTGTCCTGAGCCTTTTCTTCATAATGTTCCCCACATAGAGCAGAACATAAAACTGAAATTAAGCCTTTACATCATCCGAGCTTTCCTGCATCCACACTAGATGGAGTTGGTACAAATGAAGTGCTGCGTCCTTGTCCTGGGTGCTCGGGCGTGACACCTAACCCCCAGAGCCAGCCAGGAACCCCAGGGGCAGCCTGTACTCAGGCCAGAGCTCGCCAGCCCCAGCAATCTCTCACAGTGCAGAGGGCAGGGGTATTTCCATGACACACTCAGCAGGCCCTCAGACCTGTGCCCCTTCTGCAATGGAAGGAAGGGTCCAGGGCACATGTGCCTTGAGCGCTCAAGGCTGCATCCCTCCTCTGGCTCCTCTAGAGCCTTTTGCTGGGGTTTTGCCTCCTTGTCTCCCCTCACTGCTTCCCTTCTGCCCTCCCCAGCCAAGCTGAGGAACTTCCACCTCCTCCTGGCAGGGCCATCCACACTGCCAA